AAAATGCCATTGCATTATAACAAGTAATATTAACAAGAATATCTGGGTGCAAGGACACCAGGCTGCAAGTACACTAAAGTGCATCGAGATCAGAAGTGTTTCCATCTCTTACAGTTTCTGAAAATACGAGGTTTTGATATAAAGCAAGTGTCATTTTAAAACCAGATAAACTTAAAGAGACGAAATACAACCACAACTCAGTGGTTGAATTAAGATGGCTGTCGAGGGAAACTTGTTTTTTACGTCTAAAGTTACTCCTACCTGTGATGTGAGCAAGAAAACTGTGACTCTTCTAACGTTGTCTATATAGACAGAAACACTCCCAAAATAAGACAGGTGCTTTACAAACACACCTAGTTTTAACTAGAACTAGCTCAGGCTTCTCTACGCCCGGTCCTACGTTCAAGAACCAGAACAACTAAATTTATCCACCACGGTAACAAAGTGATTCTGAAGTGCTGATGTCTTCAGGAAAAGACCAAGAGAGAAAACTTAGCCATGAAGAACTTCGTGAGAAAACTTGCTCAGCTTCTAGTTTTGGGTCTGAAATTATCTCAAGAGAGTTCTTAAATCCTTTAAGTTTTCCCAATTAACCACTCACGCCACCCCACCTTTCGTACACATTAGATGACAAAAGTCCGCGGGACTCTCAAAAGCAAAACCTCGAAAGCTCAAAGAACACCCGGAAAGGGGGGAAATTCCACGGCCAATAACTCTCCCCGCCACCACCGACCGCCCATGTCGCACATCACGCTGCAGCGAGGCAAACACTCACCCACCGCTCGCCCAGGAGACACAAACCTGGGTGTTTCAAAATCTGAAGTGCGGTACACTGCTTACTCTCCTGGGAGGTCTCTTACCCGCCGCACCCCCTCCCCACCTTAGAGATACCTCCCCAGCATGCTGGGCGCTGCCATTTTGACAAGAGAGGGGGCCTTGCTATCAAGGCCCTTAGCCGGTCGTCCTGAGCAGAGCCTAAGAACCAGGGAGTCCCTCACCTGTCGACTCAGCGCCCCCTACAACCCATCCCTATGCTCAGAAAGTTCCCTGTACAGGGGGTCCACAGACAGAGAGCCGTAAAGTAAAGGCAACCTGGAAAGCCCGCTCGGTCTCTCAGGCAGCGCGGAGGGCGGCCCCAGCGCAAAGGGCGGGTCATCTGCGGGCGAAGGCCGGGCGTCGACCCACCGCGCTCCTGGTAACCGTGGCAACGAGGCCTTAGGCCTTGCAGACTTAGCACTGGGAGCTGCAATATGAGGCTAAATGTACCCGCCACGACCTAGGCAGTTCTCGAAGGCGCTCCTTAAAGGGCAACGCGCACTCAATGCTAGAAACTCCGCCCTGCGTCCCTCCCCAGGCTCAGACCTTCCCCTGTGGTCGTCCCCCTTCTTCCCCCTCAGCTGCTGCACGCCTCCTCCCAGGCGCGGGCAGAGAACGGCAACGCCTCCCTGTCGGCACCTCCCCCTTAAGCTGCCCGAAGCCCGCCTGCGCCCGCCTCCCCAGCGGCGCGCGATGCCCAGCGCCCCGAGGTGCGGGCCGGTGTTCTCCTAGGTCGAGGTGCGGCCCGCTAGCGAGACCGAGCCCCACTGTATTTTCTTTTATTTCATTTCACTCAAGGTTTTGCACAGACTGAAGTTTTGTGGGTTAGGTTAAACTCGGGACCTCCTCGAAAAGGACCCTTTTTTTTTTTCTTTCAAAATGGCAGCCTCCAGCCGCGCACAAGTGTTAGATCTGTACCGGGCGATGCTGAGAGAAAGCAAGCATTTCAGCGCCTACAATTACAGGTGACCCAGTGGGCGGCGAGGGCCGGGAGGTCCGGGGTGCGGGGAGCTCCTGTCCCGCGCCGGAGGCTTTGGAATGGGGATGCAAAGGCTCCGCCGCCGAAAAACGTGCCCCTGTCGACCAGCGTAGCTCTCTGAAACCAGGGAAGAGAAGGGGGCTTGCCCTTTATTGTATTAAAGAATAGGTTCAAATATTGTGAAGTTTTCCCCCAAATCGAATACCGTGGTTCTCTGGGAGTGTGGTTACTAGTGTGTTTCTGTGGACGTGGAAACTGCAAGGGTTCAAGCTAGGACCCGTTTGTCGCATGTGTAGAGCTTCAGGATTGCACATGTCCGCAAGCTGAAGACTCACTCTAGCCACTTCTTTAATAATAGCCTACGTGTCTTAACTAGCTTTCTTGGTTGCAAGAATCAGAATCAAATCACTTCTACTTAGGGCACTGGCTTTGCGGAGGGGGTCGGGCGAGGGCAGGGTTTGTAAAGGAAATTCAAGTAGCGGTAAAGGAACGAAAGTCTCACAATCTTCCAGGAGCTGAAACGTTTTCCTTGGCCTCATAAAATGGGGATACAGCCTTAAAAATCTTAGTAGCAGAAGGGTGAGAGTCTAAACTTACATCCCTCAATGTGTTGCACGACTTTCTCCGTGCCTGCCCCTTCCTCATATATGCTCTTGAGTTCCTTATACTCTTCATATATTTTTTTGGTCTACCTCCCAGCCTCTGCTTCCTTTTTTGCTTCCTTATAACTTCTGACCCATCGTTACTGTATGGATTCTGTCTCTGCGTCCTTTCAGATTTGGTGTTTCCTACCAACTACCTGATCCTGTCTGAGTATGAGCCATATTTAGGCGAGATCTGACTTTGGGTGATTGGCCAGGCCAAGCGTCCTAGGAGAGAGCCTATCCTTGGAAAGATCTGGTTAGATAGGCGCCACCCTCCCAGTGAGTTTATGAGCTGTGAGGCCGTATAAGTAGACCCAGTACAATGTAGGTTATGGGAACACTAAACCTCTCAAGCAGTGGCTAATTTTTAGATACCTGCATGGTAAAGGTATTCATCCTATAAATTTGAGAACATCTGGACCATACCAGTGAGACCAAATTTACCCAGTCAAATGGCTGAAAGAAACATTTCATGAGAGACCGTGGTTTTACTTAATGACTTTGCCTTTGGAAGGTAAGGTTTATAAATATCAGGAATACTGGTAGAATTTTTAACAAAAAATTAACCTAGTACTTAGCACCAAGACTTCACCAAGTCTATTGAAGAAACCCACAAAATATGCAAGTGAATAAATGGTAACCAGTTATTTACATTACATTCTGGAAGAAGATATTTTGTCATTTAAGTTTACTGAGCATAAGCAAGAATTAGGATAGGCACACAGGTCACACACTGAAGAGACAGCAGCAGGGATAGGGTAGATGAGAAAGCACATTGTGGAAAAGTCAAGTACGAGCCCTCAGAATATATAACCTTCAACAAGTCGCTCAACCTTAGTATTTCAGTTTTCTTGTTTGTAAAATTAGCCTGTTGGACTAGGTAATCTCTAAGGACTCTTACATTTCTAAAAATCCATTCGGAAATGATTTATGAGCCAGGTGCTGAAATGTACACTTGAGGCAAAGTTTTATCCAGTGAATAAATGCCAAGTCAACAGGAGTAAACTGCAGGAAAATCATTCAAAGCTCATAGGCAGAAAATTGGAAATGAGTTTCTGTAGGAGCCACTGTAAAGTAATAGACATTTAGAAAGTAGTTGCTCAAATTATACTTTGAGTAATGCTTTTGAACCAAATTTATTAAATACATGTAAATGTATTAACTGTAGGGTTCTGGTAATCATTTTACACTTTGTTGAAATCATGGACCTAAAATCTGAGATTCCTACCAGTATGTCTAAGATAATAAATGTACTTTTTACAAAATAATGTTCTTCTTGTATATTAAGGCTATGTCTTGTGAATTTCAAAGACGTCCCCTTCCCCCTTGTAAAGTTCTTTCTGTTGTCTTTAAACATTCTTTAAACAGTCTTGTCTTGAGTTCATCCTCTTTTGAGATTCAGCTCAATCATGACCTTCTCAGGACAGAGGTTTTCCTAATTTCCTTCATCCACAACCCCACCTCCATCTAAACAGGTCCTTTTCCTAAGTGTCATTTTACTTCAGTGCTTCCAAAAACTTTGCCTCTGCCATACCAAAACCTAGATATAGAAAGATGAGAGCTTTGGGCTCAGCAAGGCCCATCAGTGGCTTTTTTAACAGACCTTTGTGGGACACAGTTATAGAAACCATTTTTGCAAACTGTGTTAAGTGCTGTGATGGGCATGCACAGGGGATAGAATCAAGAATATATTGGATCAAAGGCATAAAGCAGCATAGTATGTTCAGATAACAACAAACAGCAGAAGACTGTTTAATTTCTGAAGAGTTAAGTGTGATTCATGAGGTGACAGAGGATGAGACTAAGGGTAGAAAGGGCCACATACATATTCAAGGACCTACGCACCATGCCTTGGACATGGACTTTATTCTTAGCTAACAGGCAACCAATAAAGCATTTTAAACCAGAGAGAGACATGGCCAGATTTACGTTTTAGGGAGATCACTGGCAGTAGTGTAGAAGATAATTTTGAGAGCTAGATACAAGGACACCAAATGGAAGTTCATTACAGCAGTGCTGAGGAGAGATTAGGGTCTTAATGAAGGCAGGAATAGTGGATGATAGAGAAAAAAAGGCATTTTAATATAGGATAAAATTGTTAGAATGCTATGAATGATTGGATTCAGGAAGAAGGAAGAGAATCCAAGCAGAGTCTAGAATCACAACCAGGCTACTAGTTAAGAGGAGGCACAGAAAGATTAAGTGTAAAGTTCTGCCATTAACTGACTTACAGAAATAGCTGGTCTTATGACAAGAAGACTCCTAAATACATCTTAGGACATCTTGAGTAAATGTCATCTGATGTGCAGCAAAGGCAGTTATGCACAAGCATCTACAGCTCAGGGGAGCAAACAGGGCCAGAGTTACTATCATCACTTATTTGCTGTGTGACCCTGGGGAAGTCATTTCACGCCTCTGTTTTGCAGTTTCTTAATCTATAACACAGAGATAATGATTTATTTCTCATACAGTGATAGAGGTTTAAATGAGTTAATACATGTCGAGTGCTTACAATTATGCCTGGCACAGAGTAAGTACCCAGTAAGTGGAATTATTATCTTAAGAGGAATTAAAATCTTGGTATTAGGTGAAAATTCCAGGAAGAGTATTTAGGGCAGTAGCTCTCAACCAGGGGCAATTTTATTTGACAATGTCTGGATATATTTTTGTTGTCACAGCTTGGGTGGGAGGATGCTGCTAGCATCTAATAGCTAGAGGCCAGGGATGCTGCTAAACACAAGAAAGCCCCCCATAATAAAGAATTACCTGGGGCCACCTGGGTGACTCAGTCAGTTGAGTGTCCAGTTGATCTTAGCTAGGTCACGATCTCAGGGTTTGTGAGATCAAGCCCCACATCAGGCTCTGGGCTGATAGCATGGAGCCTGCTTGGGATTCTCTCTCTCTCAAAAATAAATAAATAAACTTTAAAAACAAATTATCGGGGCGCCTGGGTGGCGCAGTCGGTTAAGCGTCCGACTTCAGCCAGGTCACGATCTCGCGGTCCGTGAGTTCGAGCCCCACGTCAGGCTCTGGGCTGATGGCTCAGAGCCTGGAGCCTGTTTCCGATTCTGTGTCTCCCTCTCTCTCTGCCCCTCCCCCGTTCATGCTCTGTCTCTCTCTGTCCCAAAAATAAATAAACGTTGAAAAAAAAAAATTTTTTTTTAAATAAATAAATAAAAAATAAAAACAAATTATCTGTCCCAACATGTCAAACATGCTAAGACTGAGAAATCTTGGTATATGGTGAGAAAATTAGTGGGCTAAGGATGCTGTTCTAGAGAACATCAAAATTTAAGGAATTAGACAATGAAGAGCCACTTAAGGACAAAGAAGAGCCACTTAAGGACACCAAGAAGACATAGTCTAAGGATATGATCCTCAAATTTAATGGTCTCAGGATCCTTTTACATTCTTATATATAACTGAGGACCCCCAAGAGCTTTTTTGTGTGCAGCATAGTTATCAAAATCGTATTAAAAATTAAAACTAAAACATTTTAAAACACCTATTTTAAACGAAATAATAAACCCATTACACACAAACATAAATAACATTTTTATGAAAAATAACTTTTTCTTCCAAATTAAAAATTAGTGGCAAGAGTGACATCATTCAACAGTTTTGCAAATCTCTTTAACGTTCGTCTTAATAAAAGAAGAGTACATTCTTCTATTTGTTTCTGCCTTCAGCCTCTTGCTGTATCGCATGTCATTTAGCCTCTGGGAAATTTCACCATACACTCATAAGAGAGTGAGGAAGAAACAAGCAAATATCTTCTTGATATTGTGAAAATACTTTTCCTGATGAAGCTGCTGAAAGGTCTCAGAGACCCCCAGTGGCCCCTGAGCCACACTTGGATAAGTACTCTAATGTCTAAAAGGGAGAAGAGAACAAGCAGAGAGAGTAGTGTCACAGAAGTCAAGATAGTCACATGTTTGGGGAAAGTGGTTGTGGTCAGGGTCACTTGCTTTAGCAAGGTCTAATAAATAAAGATGGAAATGTGGTCCCTGTTTTGGGCAGTATGGAGATCTCTAGGGACCTTTACCAGAGCAGTGCCAGTGGCTAAGGCAGAACCCAGATTGTGGGGCTTGAGAAGTGAATCAGAAGGAAGTAAACAGCCACAGTGAGTGTAGACCAACCCGCCACTGCAGGAAGTCTGGTTAACGTGATATGGGAGTTTGGATAACTTCAAGAGGGGGGGCGCACAAAAGGTGAGAGGCAGAGTATCTGACAGCCTGGTTGGTCCTGGGACTTGAGGGGGAACACTTTCTCATCAGTTAGGGTGACAGAAGTGACCATGTGGGAAGGTTGGGAAGTTCACATGATTCGTGCCATGCCTGAT